GGTGGGGTGGGGCGGGGCGGGGTGGGCTGGGGCACCTATCGGCATCGGCCCTTATTGGCGGGCTGCCGGTGGGTCGCGCGGACATACACACCACACCACACCACATACTGTAGCAAACGAGCGTTATTCGGTTAGGAAAAGAACAGGCGGGGACAGGGAACAACAATTTGGTGCGCAATTATGTCAAACATTTGTTTTAAATTGAAGGATTTCGATTAATTTTTAATTCACTGTTAAAATGGTTTCGAATTGTATTGGTTTTTGAATCATATTTCCGTGGCATAGATTGAACCGAGGGGGCAATAACTCCGGGAATCATGTGTACACCTGTCCGAGAATCATCAGGATAAAAATTAATCAAAATCAATAGAAATCGCTGAAATTAAGCGGGACCCTCGTGGAACTGGTACAAATTAGTCGAAATGCGCGTTTTCTACCACTAGAAAACCTAAAAAATTAATATAAGCAGACGGGAATCACTGGGAATCAGTGGGAATCAGGTATTTCGGGAATCATGTGTACACATCAAAATGGAGTTATTGCCCCCTCGGATTGAACGTTAAGTGTGAGTGGTGCACACCGAAAAATTCAGTATTCCTAATCATTCGGTGTCATTTCTGAAAAATACCCGGAACCTCTCCCACTAGGGATAGCCATGGGTCGTTATCTGCACCGAGAAAAAACATTTCCTGCCAGGCAGTATTAGGCCTTTGTCTATAAGCTCCCAACTTTGTCCCAGCCCAAAATTAGGTGGTGGTAAAGTTGGTATAGTTGGTATTGTATCGATTCCTTGAAAAATTCACATCAGTGGTTCCTCGATATCATCACAATACTGGCTCATAAAGTTTTCGGTTTCAAGGAAAAAAATATGATTTTGAAAGTGAATCATTCTACTCATTCGTGTATCGCACCGACAGTCTATCTTTATTTCGACTGCTGTATAACAGTCATACGACACTTTTGTGCTAGTAGCGACGCAAAGCATAGCATGCCGCGCTTAGCTTTTCCTTCTTTGTTTGCGGGAAGCGACATAGGTGGAGGTTTTGGACCTCGTGCATATTGCATCGGGGGGAGAAAGAGAGGGGTCAGCAAGGGGTGGACAAGTCTAACCCCACGCCACCCAGGCGGGCGGTGGAGGCCATTGGCACACTCCTTCTTGTCCCCTCCCCCCCCCCCAGTGGATAGAAAGGGGGTTGGTGAGTGGAGGTAAACTGCCCTGAGGGAAGCGGAGGCGGGTTGGCGAGCTATGACGACGGAGGGGGCGGGGGGCACGCTGGGTATCGGCAAAGGTGATTTCGTAATTTTTTTCCCTCCCGCGCTGGCCGAGGGCCGTTTTCGGAGCTTCGGCTCTGCTGCGCTATGTTCGCCGGGACGGGACGACTGCTGAGCGTGGGGGGTTCAGCAGCAGCCGGCGCCGCGCCGCTCTCGCTGCTGCACTCCCGAACCCGGCCATCACGGTGACGGCGCAGGACTCGGGAGTTACACGGGCGGGGCCCCGGCCGGGCCGCAGCGTGGGCGTGGTGAATCTAGTGTTACCGGGGGGCTTGGCCGCGCCGGCTGAGAGCGGAACAAGGGATCGTCCAGAAAGGATGTCCGTTTCTCCTAAATTCAGTCTGCAAACTCCAGGAGCTTGGCGCCTGCGACACTCGGGGTAGGCCGCCCCGCACTACACTCCTGTGCTGCAGCCAAGATTTTGCCTACCCATCAGGCGCTATGGGAGCTGCTTGCATTGGCTGGACTTCGCACCGAGGTTCGTGACGGCGAATGACGGACTGACTTTGTGGATGGCCCCTGAACGCCGATGGGATTCGCTTCGAGTGGGCCTTAAAAGGAAAACGACGTACACACACGATAAACAGTATTCTTATGTTTCGCTGCCGTGTACCGTCTTTTCCTTCCTCGCGCGCTTGGGCTACTACATGAGCCGAGCGGGAAACCAAATGAGGACGACTTGCGTCGTTGCTTCACCTCCGTGCGGGGACAGCGGCCGGCGGGTGCGCGGGCTTGGCAGGCCGGCGCCGCCCAGCCCCATAGGTCAGGCGCTCGCTCTGGCCTTTGGAGTGATGCCTTCGCCCCCTGGCTCGAGACTTGAGCCATCGGGACGGGACGGTATTTTCCGTTATTATGCCATCGCCGTGCGCCACCGCCGCCCAGCATGCCGACCCATCTGATGGTGCGGGCGCAGAGGCCGGTGAGCCCAACATCTGCATCGTCTGCAGCGGCTCACTCACAGGAGAGCTTCACGTGAACAGGCAGAAACAGCTGGTGAAGCGAGCGGCGAATCGCACCCACACGCTGGAGGTGGGGCTCTTCCGACCGCCGTGCCACCGGCCTTCTACCTCTAACCACCCGTCGCGTGAGACGCATGTGATCATGTGATCTACCAGGTTGCTTCACCTGACACGTGAAAGAATGGGGTTGGACTTTTGCGCGCTCGGCTGTGTGTGTGTGTGAAGCTCTGTCCCTTACAGGCCCTTCACAATATCGCAGTGAGGGACGGCGATTGGTCACGTGACCATCCACGGTTGGGGCCTCGCGCCGGCCACGCCCACCAGGGGCACGCCCTCAGCGGGGCGCGGCGGCCAGGCGTTCAAGAGCCTCCGAAAGAGTAAGTGGTAGTGTGTGTGGACTTTTACAGAGGTTTTATGCTCTACGGTCCGTGAGTTTGCTCCATATTTTACAGGCTAATGTGTCCTCGCAGTCGTGCAATGTCACCAACCCGGCTTTCTCTCATTGGCACGCCCGCTTTGGCCGCGCCTGGAATCTCCAGGAACAAAAGGCATAGCTCCCGTGAGGAGGGGCCCCTCCTGTCGGCCCTGCCCTGCTGTCCGTCGGCCACCTCCTACAGGCTTCCTGTTGTCCTGCAGTGGAGTGTGTGAGTGTGTGTGTGTGTGTGTGTGTGTGTGTGTGTGTGTGTGTGTGTGTGCGAAGAGCGGGCCCGGCTTTGCTTTGCACAGCGCTCGCTGCTCGCGCCCACGGAGCCTGAGCTTGAGCTCTGCTGCACGTCTGTGCCGGAGGTGGCCGCTGCCACGCCAGGTCAGTGTGTCGCGCCCCAAGCGGCCTCAGCAAGGCCGCTCACTACTTCCACTCGAAACGCCGAGTAGTATGGTCTTTTATTTCCCATCGCTATATTTGAAAAAAACTATTGTTTTTCAGGATTTCTATAAAGCATAATTATTTAGCTGTGAGCAACTGACGCAGAGTGTAAGTAGTTCCCCACCAAAAAATACCGGTTTCCTCTCAAACTTAATGAACAGTGTCCTCTTCAGAAAACGGTGTAGGCCGACTGAGACACGCGAGGCAGCGTAAATTACCCGCGCTAACAGCACACACACACACACACACACACACACACACACGCACACACTGACCCCCCAAGCACCCTCCGCCTGGGCGCGACGCCACCGCCCTAGGAGAGAGGGGGCGAGGAGGGGACTGAGGGAGACGTTCTTACAAAGCCACGTCTGACACGATACTCGGGCCCCAGAGGTGTCGGCCCGCGGGGCGAGGGGCGAGGGAACGGCCTGCGAGTACCTCGACAGATAGTCTCTGCCTACCTACCGGGTACCCCGCGCGTCCGGTCAAGTTCAAGGTGGCGGGGCGGGCCGGCCCAGAGACCGGTACTCAGAGCAAGTAGGAGGGGGGGCAGGAAGGGGGGCAAAAGGGGGCCCGCAGCAGTCGGTCGAGCGAGGTGGCCCGAAGGCGACGGACCGGGATATCAAGACCATTACCCCACAGAATCCAGTCCTGTTCGAGCCTACCCATCT